GGGGGGGGGGGTTCTAGGTTTAATCTCCGGTAGCAAGGGATGAAAGAAAAATGGAACAGACTGGCAAGATGGCTGAGGGGTAAATGTGCTTTCCACCAAGGCTGTCAATCCAAGCTTGATCGTCTGAACCTGCATGGTAGACATCTATGTGTGTGCCATGGAATGAGCACCTGAGTGTGTGTACACACACTAAATGAATGAATGAATAAATACAAAACTACTGGGAAGGGAGAAAATGTTGAAGTGTTTTTAGGTGAAATAATGTTTAGGGTTTACTTTAAAATGTCCCTTTAGCTCCCCCCCCCAAAAAAGGAAAGTAAGGGTGGCCATTCCACAGATTGTCTAAGTGGAGAATTATTAAAATTGCGAATCTCTGATGTTCCTAACCATGGTGGGTGCCAAGGGATTTGTGGCATCCTTCTGTTGCTTTTGGGGTTTGGAAAACCATTCTGCAGTAGAAACTCTTGAGTGAGTTCAAATGCCAAGTCCAATTGAGAATACACATCTGACCCCCAACCTTTGACCCCTACAAGAGACACAGAATATAATTAAGATGCTAGGCTTTGTTTCTGTGAATAAAAATTTGAGATGTGTTCTCCAATTTCTGGTATTTTGAAGAAATTCTATAAATATAATTATAGCTTTTCAAGGTGACTAGTTTTCAGAAAGATAACCAAAGATGACTGAAAAATTGTTCTTCAAGGTGTTATGTGTTCTCCATTGTAAGGTGACCAGCTACATCCAAATATCAGATACAATGTATGATTTTTAATGTTAAGTATGCCTTAAATATGGCACAGGACACACTTACCTGAAAATGATTTCTTATTTATCTGAGACGAGCACAATCAGATGACCTATGCTGTCTCTTCTGGATTCTAAACGTGGGAGAGCAAGCACAGAGCTCAGGCTAGGAGGTGGGGCACTCACTGTCAAGGGAAAGTTTTGGCTAGTTAGAGTGGTTTGGGATGGGTCCTCTACCTCTGAAGCCCTGGGTGGGGACTCCAGTGGTGTTCCTTGGGTCCCCTGAACTGTCTGGTGTACCTAGAGTCCTGGCTGTCCTGCTAGGAAGCCACCGGAGCCTAGCAGCACCTCAGGCTGCAAGTACTTCTGGCTTCGTGGCTGGGTGTGTGAAACTGGGCAGACAGACAGAACTATTTGCGTACCAGGAAGAAGGTTTGGCCAGTTAGGTCTGGCATATGGTACTATGGTCTTGCCAAGAAATGTGACAAAGCAAGCAAGGGTGAGGATTGCTGCCAGGGTGGCCGGAGGCCCCAGCCCCTCGTTCCTCAGGAGGACACCGGATGCGGAGCTGGCACTCGGCCTCCTGCTTGACCTCTCTGAGGAGGTCTCCAACAGTAGCCAAGTGAGCAGAGCCTCTCCAGAGCAAAGGCATCCCAACTATTTCTGGGGGAAAACTAGACCTGGAAGGAATGCTGGTCCTTTAATATCAGTAAATGGAAGAGGACCTCCACTACCACCAAAACCAGCTTCTAGTATGGCAGAGAGAGGAGTACAGAGGACAAAAAAAAAAAACAAAAAACAAAACAACAACAAAAAAAAACCCTATACTTTGGAAATCACCAGCAAAAGGGGTGAAAGTTCATGGTCTAAATAGGAAAGTAAAGAAATTTCAGGGCACAACAAAAATGCTTTAAAATGAGAAATCAGAACAAAATGCAGGAAAAGTGAAGAACATATTAACTTTCCCAATAAACAAGAATGGATCAAACTCTTCTGCTAAGCGATAAGGACTTCAAGACTACATTAAAAGTCAAAATTCATCGCCCTCTCCTTAAAAGACACTTCGAACAATTAAGTGGCTTTGGGAAAAGTAGAATTTCAGGAAGCAACATTTCTATGCTATCTTGGGGGACACAATCAGATTAAGTGTAAATAAAGAGGAATTAGGTAGAATTTAAAGTAAAAAGCAAAGAGAAAAACAGTGGTTTTCTTTCCTTGATAAAAGATGTATTTCCCTGCAAAGACTCCCAAAGCTTTGAAATACTCAGAACAAAAATAGTTAGGGACATATAAACTTGTACCTTACAAAGTAGCATCTCAAAATGGCAGGGATTAAAGTTGAAGAGGGAATTTTAATACATTGCCTGTATGACTGAACAGACAGTAAATAATAGTAAATAAAAGATCCAAACAACAAGCCTTTAAACTGTTATGTTGCAGCTTAATAAAGTGCTCAATTTGTAGCCTTGAAACAGGAAACAAAAATAATTTTAAAATGGAAGACAAAAGTAATACAAAATAAAGAATGCACTTTCTACCTAATGCGCAGAGAACATTTACAAAACCCGATCACAAATTAGGTGAGTAATAACTTACCCAAGACAGAAATCAGTCAGGACATATTAAAGTGCAATAAATTGAGAAATTAATAAGTTTAAACAAAAAGTCCATCCAGTTGGAAATTTACAAAGTATTTCATTCGGACTCCCAGCATGAACATGCCTGCATAAGTCAGCACTTTCCCCCTTTTCTCTTGGAAATCATTCAAACCCACAGAATCCATTTTTCAGAAGAGCTGGAAACAAATAAAAGCCGCAGACTCCAAAATATAAGTAAGGGCTGCTCAAGGACAACTGAGATTGGGCAGGGGCCACGGGACATGAAGGATGATGGCAGCTCATGGGGACAGGGGCTCTCATAAACCCCTGTGAAAGTGTTCTTCCAAATGGGAGAATGTGGTAACTGTGTCAGACAGGGGTGGATGTGTGGGGGTAGATTGCTATTTCTCTTTACTTTCCTATACTTGGAAATTTTCATAATAGTTTCAAAGTGAAATGTTTGCAACATGAAGTAGGAAGTGCGCCCCTTATTTCCAACACTGCAGGAACGTTGCAGGCAGGTCAAGCTGACTGCAGAAGCCTAGACCTGGTTGGATTCAGAGGAGCTGGGAAGGTGGAGCGACATGGAGGAGCCATGTCTGTAGGAGGCCTTGTGCCTCCATGGTGGGAAGGAAGGAAATAGCCAGGCTAGGAAAAGCCAACTCATTTAGCGGTTAGTAAATGTAATTGCACAGCATTAATTCAAAAAATCCAAAGTGGAAAAAAGAAGAGAAAGTAGAAATCAAACCAATAAAAGAGGACACGTGCCTACCAGGACTGTTTTGCCAAGCAGCAGAAGAGAAGGAATGTTTCGCTGTGAACTTTTTAGAAAGGAAACTTCAGAATGTGAAGCATGAAGAATGGAACTTAAGAATGGACAAAGTCCATGAACTGGGAAGACTCTGGCAAGAGAGGAAGTATAATCTTTAACGGTGGACAGGGCAGAATGGCCACATGGAAAACACAGTTGGGGAATAGAGGGTAGAGGTGATAGTCACAACAAAAAGAAAATGGGGAGAAAAAGTTCAGAGGCGCAAACAGAAAGTGGCAGGTATAGAAGCCAGGGACAGAAGACTGGATACCGCTATAAGCAGAGTCTTTGAGGATGACACTCCAAACAATGAAAGTAAACAGCAAAACATGTAATCATTTAATCAAACTTCACTGTTGTGAAAGAACACTTGAATATATGGTTTGAAAAGGTCCAGTGTGAGTGAGGACAATTGACCCAGATTGGTCAACTTCAGATATAGCCTAGAATAGAACACATATCATACTTAAAATATCAAAAAGGAATTCTTCTTAAAATACCAAAGCCATTTAAAGTAGAAAATAAATCAAAGTGGCTTCAGTTTCCCCAACTATAAAAATCCAGAGGCCTGAAACAGCACACATAGCATTGTCAGTGACAGAGGATTTGAAGCTCACCCATACTTTCTGACAAGCATTCAGGGCAACAGCCAGCTGGTGAGGTTTAGCACTTCTCAGGCATGGTTTCTGGAACCGACAAGCTGGGCCTTGGAAAGGGCACAGCAGGGGAACTAGTTGTGATCACACAGTCTTCTGGAACCCAAGTGAGCAAGTGGGAGGATCAGGGTAACACAAACGATGGAAACATCATTCTTATTGAATATGTAACAGTGTAACAATGGTAAAAGTTAGGTGGAGAAGGAGGGAAAGTGGGGCCCGCGATAAGAACACTAATTGTCGTGTTGTAGAATAAATGGAATTGACAGATCTTTTCTCAAGTTGACAAGTTATGTATATAAGTGGATTCTGAGCAAACAGTGTCAAGGTCAATACTGAGGAGGAGAACCTTGCCTAAGACGGGATGATGGGGATGAAGAAGAAGAGGAGGGGAGAATGGGGAAGAGGAGGGAGAAGAGACTATGGAAAGAATTTCAGGAAAACAAATGAGACTAGAAACTTTCACGACTGTGTAAATATAAGATGTGTGTAAATCTTAGGCTCAAGCTATCTGCTTTATCAGTACATGTAACACCTGTCACTCGTTACAGCAGTTTCTTCCCACTGTTACTGCCACCTCACCCCACTTCTTCCTTGTATAGCCCTTGCAGGCCTGGAACTCACTATGTAGACCAAGCTGACCTCAAACTCACAAAGATCCGTCCTACTCTGCCTCGTGAGTGCTGTGTTTAAAGGTGTGGGCCCCCATGCCTGGCCTTATGGCAAGATTTAACATCAGATCTTGAAGTGACATCTAACTGCAGTGGAGAGATTCAAGATAGAAGAGTCCACCATGTCCCAGGCTGTGAAGAAAGCCTTGATGAGTTTTAAGAAGAGGCAGTGCCACACATACCACTTTCTGACCATAAGCCTCTAAAACTGGAAATCAGTAACAAGATCCAAAGTCCCCATAGCCTTCTTTACCTGGAGAATTGAAAAGAAATTCTATTTTTAAACACTTTTGGGGACACAGGAACATATGTGCCCTAGGCTATCTGTCCTTAAATTTGCCCTGTAGTGGAGATGGATGTGAGCTTCTGATCCTGCTTCAGTGCCTGAATATGGGGACCACAGGTGTGTACCACCACACTCCCCCTCACACTCTTTTTTTTTTTTTGTAAGAGCTGGCTAGTGGTGGCACATGCCTTTAATCTCATCACTTGTGAGGCAGAAGCAGGTGGGTCTCTGTGAGTTTGAGGCCAGTCTGGTCTACAGAGCAAGTTCCAAGGCAGGCTCTAAAGCTACAGAGAAACCCTGTCTCAAACCTCTCTGCCCCTACATCCCCCCCCAAAAAAAAGATTTGAGAAGAAGAGGAAACTGACCCAAACTCTTGAATATAAATGAGACAGCAATAAAACACTAGCCTTGAGCTTAGGTCTAAGGCAGCATGTGGAGCCATTTTTAGCCTTAAGAACTCATGTTAATTTTAAGAGATCAGAAAAAGTAAACAGCCAAGTCTGAGATAAATAATTAAAACAAAATGAATTATAGAATATATGAGGATTATGGTCATTCTGCATGCAGAAGGTCAACTTTTCATTTGTTTGTAACATTCTTAATCCTTTGAATGTGCTGCTTTTGTGAGTCTCAGGTAACTTGAAAACTCAATTACTCTGAAAACTCACATCCTAACAGACTAACAGATACTTTCCCTCCTCTCCCTTCCATGGTTTTCCTTCCATTCTGTCTTTTCATTTCTTTCTCTCCTCTTTCCTCCTTGGCTTCCCTTCCTCCATCTTTCCAACCCCACCCCTTTGTTTGCTTTTGTTCCTCTGTTAACTTCCCATCCTGTCAAATGTGCCATCTTCTCCGCTGTCCCTTCTCTTCCTCCACTCACACTGTCTGTTTCCCTTCTTTTCCTGTCTCTTCCTTTTCCATTCCCCCAATTTCTTGCTCTTGAGTCCTTTCTCATTTCAACAACAGGTCTATGATACACAGTTGGAGAAAGTGGAGGCTTTTGAGGGCCTGTCGGACTTTTGTAACACCTTCAAGCTCTACCGGGGCAAGACTCAAGAGGAGACAGAAGACCCATCTGTCATTGGAGAATTTAAGGTCTGTCCCTGACTTTGTGAGGTTACAGCAATCAGTGACTGGGGAAGGGGTAGTGGCAACAGTGACCATGGTGCTGCTGTTGGTGTCCTTGGGGGTGACCTTGTGGCTGATGTAGAATTGAATGGTAGTGTGGGGTAGTTTGTGGCTTGGCTCAATGGTTTCCATGGTGATGGCGCTCACAAATGAGCACCCGTTGGTTACTGTGTTATTGACAATGATGACAAAAATGAAAATCAAGTCCCCATTTCTTTTAGGGTCTCTTCAAAATTTATCCCCTCCCAGAAGATCCAGCCATCCCTATGCCCCCGAGACAATTCCACCAACTGGCTGCCCAGGGTCCCCAGGAATGCTTGGTCCGAATTTACATCATCCGAGCATTTGGCTTACAACCCAAGGACCCCAATGGCAAGGTAACATTCTTGGAACCCTTGGTCCCCTGAGAACAATAGCAAGCTTTGCCTGAAGAAGGCAGACAGAGTTTCTGTCCCAGGGAGGGCACAGTGAGCCAGGGAACCCAAAGATGCCTGCAGAGCTGAGAGGGAGCTGTGGCATCTTTGTGAGGAGCAACCCCAGGAGGTCAGGGAGGCTAGAGTCTGTTTGGGGCTCTGGAAAAGTGGGGTAGCCTCAAAGGAAGGAAAAGGACCCTTGTGGGTACATGAACATTGGGAGGCCAGGAAGGACAGGGAGCTGGGTTTTAAGAGTGGCTGGGGCATGGGTGAAAGCTTGAAAGCTGACTGCTCAATTCACAGGTATAACTGTGGTTTGGCACGTGGTAAAGTGGACAGAGGTCCAGGCTGAGTCTGTAAGGTTTTAGTGCTGAGAAGGAAGGCATACAGGGAGGGAGGCACAGGACTAGTAACTTCTGTGGGCCATGGGGCTAGAGGCACAGAAAAACTGGCTAGGCTTGTTCTGCCGATGTTGATGATCTACTACTCATCACAGGCTGTTGGTACTGACTTTGTAAAAGTTTATTCTTATTATTTTCTGTGTATGGGTATTGTGTACATAAATATATACCTGTGTACCACATATGTGCCTGGTGTCCACAGAGGCCAGAAGAGTGCATTATTGGATCTTCTGGGACTGGAGTTGTGAGCTGTGAGCTGCCATGTACCTCTGAGTCATTTCTCCAGCTCACAGAATACCATAATGAAGTATAATTTCTCTGGATTACTGAGTTTTTAGATCTTCCTTTAAATTTCATGTCTGAAGCAAGAGACAGAGATAAGTACTGGCCAGAGATGGAGGAGGGAGGGCTGAAGGAGAGGAGCTGGCAGAGAGAGAAGAGCTGGAAAAGGAGAGAGAACAGCAAAGCAGGAGTGAATAGTTGGAGTTTAGAGGTCCAAGCCTGGGTCCTTCCTTGTCCTCTTAGATGGGTTCCAGCCCCAATATGTGTCCCTAAGGTCAGGGACAGAAGTCTGGTATCCCACCCCCAGTGTCTTTCAAAGATGAGAAGTCACACACCCTAGCTTGGGCAGCACAGACAGCTTCCAGGATATGGCTGTCATACTGGCTTATGTTCTTCAAGCCTTCATGCCACGGTGCTAGCCCTTGTTCCTCTCTCTTGTTATATTCTTGTAGGATAGTGCAAAGTCTGCTGCTGCTTGAAAGTAGTGCTCAGAAAACAGGCTCAGGCTGTTCTCGTGGACAAAATTTGCCTCTGTATGTCTCTTTCCATCTTTAGAAACAGGCCATTTGAGAATAGAGTGGACCCCAACCTGGCCTAGGGATATATGGTCATGTGTGTATGAGGGCTGAGGTCTAGCCACACCCACCTCTTCCCATGTGCTGGTGACTCAGGAGTATAGGACACTCAACCTTCCTACTGTTAGGTGTGAGGCTAGAAGATCTGTCTGAGCATAAGGTGTGACAGGGTGAGGTATGTCTTAGTATACTGTAAGGTGTTGTCCTATGGTTCAGTGTAGTGTAGTATGTGTTTATGGTATGGTACGATGTGGTATGATAAGGTGTGATGCTGAGGTGTGATACAATGTGGTATGGTATGGTGTGGAGAGACACCATAACCATGCCTCCTAAGGGCTGGCTACAGGTGTGCCTGACCATGCCTGTCAGGGTGTGGCCAAGGTGAGGTCAGGATGGTGCGGAATAGGTTTTTAAGGGGCTGCAAGCACATGGGAGCCCCTTCTTTCTGCCTGGCTGCCTTGCTGCCCCTGGCACGCTCTGGCTTGCATTTGGCTGGTATTTATCTGAATAAAGATATCTTAAACCTACAGGCTCTTGTTATAGTATGGTATGGCATGGTATAGTGTAGTATAATGGTATAAGGTGTGGCTTAGTATGCTGTGAAGTGTTACAGTATAGTGTGGTGTGGTAAGGTATGGTAAGGTGTGGTGTGGTGTGGTGTGGTGTGGTGTGGTATAGAGGATGGGCCCTGGCCTGAGAGGACACAGTATGCATCACAGCTCACCGATGGTCACTGAAAACCAGAAGCCCCAAAGACACCTTGACCCAGTGATTTTACTTGTACATTTCTATGTCCTCCAGTGTGACCCTTACATCAAGATCTCCATAGGGAAGAAGTCGGTGAATGACCAGGATAACTACATCCCTTGCACCCTGGAGCCTGTATTTGGAAAGTAAGTGGGAAGTGGCTTGAGTTTGGGCTAGAGGGGCTGGTGTGGATAACTCACAGTTCAGTGGGCAGATGTGGCTGCCATTTAGGAAGTCTCTGTCTCCTAGGGCAGAACCTTTATCTTGGCTCTTTTATGTCTGTGATCAAAGACTTGAACCCTGTCAGGCGCTCCTTGTTAAGCACAGAGACCAGAGATCGCAGGAGTACTCAGAAGATGCATTTCTTATAGTGTGGGGTTCCCAAATACCCTGCACCTCAATCCCCCATTAGCATCTTACCTGAGTGGTACATTTGCCCAAATGAGAACATTATCACTGGTACGTTATGATTAGCAAAGAGACTTTATGAGTGCCCATTACAGTCCCTGTCTATCCCAGATAGTAGTTACCAGTAGTTATTCTTCTAGTGCCCACATGTTTTATGGTAGTCAGCTAGTGGGTAAAGACAGCCAGGGCATGGGGGACTCTAAGAACAAGAGGAGAAGGCTGAGTGGTAGGTGGGTGGCTCCTGGGACCTAAGTTGCCATTCGGTCATGAGTGTTTTGATGTGCAGCCTATGGTTGTTGTTTCTCTAGCACCCATGGAATCCTGGTCTTCCCACGTATCAAGTAACACATTGCATCCATATTGGCATCTGTTTGCTCAGTTGAAGTCACTCTGGCTGTAACTTGTGGAGAGAGACAGTCCCAGCCAGCAGCATTTGCCACCATGCTTAGGAGAGGATGGAGGGTGGAGAGAAGAGGTTTCATGATCTCTGGCACCTGGCACACGGATAGTGTGTGTTCGCATGTGCGTGTGTGCATAGACTCCACAGGAGCTCCCTCCAAAGAGTCATTTTCATAAGCCCTCCTTCCATTCCATCTTGGAAGTTGGTGTACAGCCCTAGGAGTCCTGAAAGTAGGTTCTGGACATGCCCTCAATGAGAGTTTCCTATCTCTGTCTCCTGGTGCCATGGCAGAAACATTGCTGTCAATGTTGTGTTCCATCTCATTCATCTATTCATTATGGGGTGCATGAACTAGGCAGTCAGCCTGGTTTGGGAAAACCTGGCACACAGGTACACACACACACACACACACACACACACACACACACACACACACTCAGAGAGAGAGAGAGAGAGAGAGAGAGAGAGACAGAGACAGAGACAGAGAGAGAGACACACAGAGAGAGACACAGAGAGAGAGACAGAGGGGGGGCATAGAGGCCTGCCCAGTACAGCTGCACTGTGGGTGGCTTGCTCTAGAAGAGACAGGAGACCTAGGATGGCTTTCAATCCTTATCCCGCTGCCCCTTGACTCCCCACTGTGTGGATGCCACTGGGTTTGCAGTGTCTGATGCTGCTGGCTCTCCTGCAGGATGTTTGAGCTCACCTGCACCCTGCCTCTGGAGAAAGACCTGAAGATCACACTCTATGACTATGACCTCCTCTCCAAGGACGAGAAGATTGGGGAGACAGTCATTGACCTGGAGAACAGGCTGCTGTCCAAGTTTGGAGCTCGCTGTGGGCTCCCACAGACCTACTGTGTGTAAGTGCCCAAGATTGATTCTTACTTAGGTGTTCTCTTCTTGTATTCAATGAGGAACCCAACTGTACCCACCTCACAGATGTGGAAACAGAGACTTATAACTGGCAAGATTAGAATTTGAATCTGTGTATCCAGCTCTTTATCATGTTGTCACAATTCAGCCTTGCCCACCCTCCCTTATTTTTGAGATGGGATTTCAGTGTAGCCATGGCTGACCAGGAACTCACTAGGTAGACCAAGCTGTCCTTGGATTCAGAGATCCCACCCGCCTCTGCCTCCTGAGTGCTGAGATAAAAGTCATGTGCCACCACACCTGGCTTCAGTCTCTTGTGACGTGCACCAAGGTCTGCAGGGGACTGGGTACCTGGAAGGAGAGAGGAAGGGGTGATAGAGAGAGGGAAAGGAGAAAATAGCATGAAACACATGCTTCAACTGTGTCTGAGGGGGTCCTGTGACTGCCAGGGACATTTGTGTGTGGCATTTGAGTTCCAGTTTCATGCATGCTTCAGTCCTTTGCTCTTTGGGCCTCTGTTCTGTGAAACAGGCTATGACAGTGAAGTGTGAGCAGTGTTGAATGAATGTGGGGTACAGAGTCTACTGGAAGCTCCTCACTCTGTGTTCTTGGAATGTCTCATCTTAATCTTGTACTTGGGCCTCAGCTCTGGACCAAACCAGTGGAGAGATCAACTCCGCCCTTCACAACTCCTCCAGCTCTTCTGCCAGCAGCACAGGGTCAAGGCCCCTGTCTACAGGACAGACCGAGTGACATTTCAGGATAAGGAATACACCATTGAGGAGATAGGTGAGCTTCTCTATTGTCCTAACCATGGTGGGCTTTGTCTCATCAGAAAGGCTCAAATGGACACACCCTGTATCAGCAGAGTAAAGGGGTACCAGTTTGTAGGTCACAGGTCAGGGTGGAGCCAGGTCAGATCTCTGTCCAGGGCCATGGTGAAGTCTTCTGAGGGTGTCCTGGTTAGCCTTGATTGTCAACTGAGTAATCTGAGAGGATCCTCAGTTGAGGAATTGTCTAGATCAGGTTGGTCTGCAGCCAAGTCTATGAGAGAGTGTCTTGATTGATGTGGGAGGGCTCAGCCCACTGTGTGTGGCACTATCGCTAGGTAGGTGGACCTGGGCTATGGAAAAAAGTGGGTGAGTGAGCCAGTGAGCAGCGTTCCTCTGTGGTTTCTGCTTCAGTTCCTGTGCTGACTGTCCAATGATAGATTATAACCAGCAAGTGTAAGCCAAATCAGCCCTTTCCTCCTCTAAGCTGCTTTTGGCCAGAGCGTTTTATCATCATAAAAGAAAGCAAACTGGAACAGAAGGCGAGTGAGCAGGTGGGGCTGAGGTCAGGGGCAGGATCTGTCTCCTTTTGGCTTCAGTGGTCAGACTTTGGTCAGACCTTGTGGTACATCCACCTCTGAGGAGATCCTGCTATTGAGTTATGCTAGTCGGCTTGCTTGACCTTGGCGAACATTTCCAACCCCCTACACCAGGACAGTCAACAGGCCTTGCCACACCCCATGCTTGCCCTTGGCTCTGTCCAGTGTGGTAGCTGAGATCCTCACCACATGCTCTCCATGTGTCTGAGATGCCCACACTCCCACATCGCCCACCCAGAGCAGTTCCAACTCCCTGAGGTGTTTACAGGCCCAGCTGGCCCTGCGCCTCCTGCTTGTTGCAGCTATGTTTGATGTCAGGGCTGGTGCTGAGGTTATAAAAGGAAATGACGGCTTTGATGCCTGTGCCCCACCCCCTCCTCCTTGGTCTGTGTTCCCGACTCTCCCAGGGCTTGAGCCAGGCTCAGCCATTAAGAATGTGCATCTGGTTGAGGGGGGAGTCTCATTTCCTCCAGGGGCACCCACTGCTCTGCTAGCAACTTTAGCACAGGGGATTTAGGTCATAAAATCCTGAGGTCCAGCATCTGCCTCACCTTACAGATGCAGCCATTGAGGCCAGAGGTACTTAACGATCTTCCCAAAGTTACCAGGCAGCTGGGTGCAGGCCACACTCCTGCACACACCATATGACAGTGTGCTTGGCTCCAAAGAACAGTGACCTAATAGCATACATGAGTGGGTGTGTGGGTGTGTGGGTGCATACGTGTCCATTATTCCTGTACTCCTATAGCCAAGGCATCTGGCACAGAGATGAACCTGGCTTCTTCCCATGCATAGCACCTGTCTCCAAATCATCTGGCAGTAGGGAGCTGCCCCACAGGAAACAGGAGGTAGAAGAAGCATGTATTTACCTTTTCTAACTGAGTAGGATCCCAGCTGTCCTGATGCATGGGTGTAGGGCTTCTGCAGGGTTCATGTCTGTGAAATGTGGATGGCAGTGGTACTCAGTTGCAAGGGTCTTTCTAGGGATCAGGCGTGCTAACGTTTCTGTGAGCAGTGCTGGCACATGGGCCCTCTGCAGAAGCATTCACTGTGACCCCTGAGTGTAGCTATGCCATCACAGAACGCCTTCTGTGGACTGGCATGAGGCACCAGGTTTGGGTGTACAGGTCACTGGGGCTCAGAGTTGGGTGTTGTTAAGACCAGGTGGATGAGTGGACTTTGGAAGACAAGGAAGATTGTGTGGATGGAAAGTAAGATTTTCTAGAACAGTATTTGAAGCCTAGCGCCTGTGGGCAGTGGTGTTTCATTCGTAGAAAGGGAGGCATAAAGACCAGTACAGCACACCTTTGTGGGGATGTCTGTTGTGAAGAGGGATTCCCTGCGGCCACCAGGAAGAGGAAGGCAGCCCTGCTGTCTTATCTCTCACATCCCTAGTCACTTTTTGTTTCTCTGGGGCAGAGGCTGGAAGACTCCCAAACCCACACCTAGGCCCAGTAGAGGAACGCCTAGCCCTGCATGTCCTTCAGCAACAAGGCCTAGTCCCTGAGCACGTGGAATCCCGGCCTCTTTACAGCCCTCTGCAGCCAGACATTGAGCAGGTAAATCCTTGTCCCTTGAGCTGTGGAGTCCCTGGGCCCCAGAGAACTACATTCTAAGGATAGCCAGAACTGTCAAGTTACCAGTGGGGATCTGTCACTCTCTGTCACTCACGGCTCATTTCTTCACGGAGCCATCTACATGGGCTTTTGTAGCCTGGCCTTTACTGCCTGGGGAACAAAGCTAGCACTTGCTTTGAGCACATGTGGGCCTGGATTCCTGCCTGGGAGTCTGAAGCCTTTCCATTTCAACCCTACCTAAGGGTGTCCTCTGTCTGCCATTGTTAGTGGTTTAGTCCCAGAAGATCATCCTTTCTGAGCTACAGTTGATGGCTCAGACTAGATCCAGGACTTCTAGAATGGCCACCAAAAGTGGGCAGGAGGCCTGGAGGCTTCCATTTTGGAAGACAGGTGAACACAGAGAGCAAGCTTAAGACTGGCAGCCAGGCTGGTTGGAGGGTGTGGGCTCAGGGCAGCATGAGGAGAAGGGAGAAAAGTCAGGGGAAGCTCTGAGGATGCCTTTAAGAGAAGCAGCTCTTTCCTAGAAGGGCTGGCACCCAGCCTCCTAAAGCAGCCCAGGTTACACTCTCCTGTCCTCCAGTCCCATGATCCTGCAGACATTACTGAACCAAGTTACTTTAATTCTTGCATTTTAAGAGAGACACTTTCCTGGATTTGTAGAGAGAGAGGTAGGTGGGCAAAGTGGCTTCTGTCACAGGGATCTGAGTCCTTATGACTAAACCTTGGCTCCCTGGCCCTCTGTGGCATTGCATGGGTCATTCTCAGCACCCTGAACTGCAGTTAACACATCATTGTCTCTGAGCAGCCTGTGCCTGGAGGCCAGTGTTCTCTGCTCTGTAGTGGGTCTTGCATCAAACTGTTTAGGTCCCTTCTTTTCTGAGTGCTGAGCCTGTTTCTGGCAGCCAAGCAGGCAGGCTTGAGTTTCATTTCCTCTGGCCTGATCCCCAGGTGTGTATACTAGGCAGGTACAGAAACTATGGATGCAATAGTGAATGTGTGTGTGTGTGTGTGTGTGTGTGTGTGTGTGTGTGTGTGTGTGTGTGTGTGCGCACGTGTGCACACACACACTTATAAAACATGAATGAATTGCTCATGTCTTTACAGGGGAAGTTACAGATGTGGATTGACCTATTTCCAAAGGTTCTGGGCAGGCCTGGACCTCCTTTTAACATCACCCCAAGGAAAGCTAGAAGGTAACAGACCTGGCCATAGCTGCTAGCTGTGCTGGAGGCAGGAAGGCCATAATAGCAACTGTGGGAGAAGGGGAAGAAGGTTGCTTGTTGGACACAGATTGGAGCCACTGGAATCTTGGAACACAGCTTGTTTGGGTCTGGGTCCAGGCAACCAGGTAGAAGGACTCCTGGGATGGATGTGGGGACATCACATTCTTTGCTGGAATATCTTTCTTCTTACCCCTCCCAACACACAGGTTTTTCCTGCGTTGTATTATTTGGAACACAAAAGATGTGATCTTAGACGACCTCAGCCTCACGGGGGAGAAGATGAGTGACATCTATGTGAAGGGGTAGGATTTCATCATTTTCCACTTGGGCTGGTCCTGGCACCTCTTAGCTCCTGGGGGTGGAGTGGGGGTGCTGTCTGTGCAGATCTGTGGTGTGGAGTTGGAGAAGATACCACTTCAAGGAGGGTCTCACAGGGGTGTCCTGCACCTTTCAGGAGTCATTTCCCTCAAATTTCTTCCAGCTTAAATAGCAAGGACTGAGGATGCTCTTGGGGAGCTGAGACATTAGATGGTCCCATTCTGTGGTGTGTTGTGGGCACCATGGAGATTTCTTGGGAATGCCTTTACCAAGTTCCTTCACTCTCACAAGTCTTCATTGGTCCAAGTCGAGGTTGCCCCTCTGGTTGTGGGGGTCTGTGGAATGTCTTAGAATTTGTGAGCTTTAGACTGATGAAGGCCACCCTCTTCCATGTGTGGCTAGCTGGATGGTGGGGTTTGAAGAACACAAACAGAAGACAGACGTACACTACCGCTCCCTGGGTGGTGAGGGCAACTTCAACTGGAGGTTTGTGTTTCCTTTCGACTATCTGCCTGCCGAGCAAGTCTGTGCTGTAGCCAAGAAGGTGAGTGACCCTTGGTGTGGGGACCAGGCTCTTGGGGCTTCCCACTGCTAATGTGATTCCTGGCACCCTTAGCAACATAGCTCATACTGTTGCATCCTCTCTACTACCCCTGCAGCTCTGACCATCTCTGTTACCCTCGAGGGTGTTGTCACTATCTCTGCACCCCGCGTCTCTTTCCTTTTCTGCTAATCTTATGGTTGCCAGTGTCTCTACCTTCCAAGATGACTCACAAGCACACAGCACACACCTAACACACAGCCAAGTTCAAGTCCTGCTGCCTCTGTCTATTGCACCATTCCACACATAAACCTAGCAGCATGGTAGAACCTGGGATCTGAGGCAGATGAGTCTGGAGGCCCAGCGTGGCCATCACAGGGGCAGAGGGTAGAGCCAGCTGTGTACTCCTTGGGGGGCAGGGCTGGCCTGCAAGGGGGTGTGTTGCTTAGATTCTCGGCAGCTTTAAATTTAGGTCTCATCTAAACATTGGTCTCTCCAGTCTTGGATGGTCCAAGTTCAAGGTGGCAGCCTCTTCCCCACACCTGGTGTATCCCATGAGGACAGTAGAGCACAATGCTTGGGTGTGGCATCATGTGGGTCTTCAGCCAGGATCATTTCAGGAAGGTCTAATGATGCTTTCAACCCTTTGACACTAATGGCTGTCTGGAGGTGTTCCCCTCTCAGCTTATATGCTTAGGTCCTATTGGTCTGGCTTCTACCCAGTGGCAGCTCATGCTCCTGACATTATAGCCTCAGTGATGCCTGTCTCTGCAGGCTGCAGTGTGGCTTTACCTTGAAGGAAATTCAAAATGCACTTGGCTTCCTCACCCTCTGAATTCTCTTCATTGCATCTCCCCTGCCTGAGACTTCCCAGCCCAACGCACAGAGTCACCTGCACCTCAGAGAAAACAGAGTGTCCTGCCAAACATTTAGAAGCCATCAAAAAGAGAATAGGGATTTATCAGGGCTAAAGGGATTCTTCAACTCAGAGATGGCAGTAGAGGCCACCAGAAAACAAAGCCAGATTTAGCAGCCAGGTTGTGTAAAGTCCAGCAGTGCCCAGTCTCTCTGTAAGTTTTGAGCTTGCCGTTCCTTGGGGTTTGTCTATTACAAGCCTACTTCCCTAATAAGCAGATACCGTGTCTGTCTGAGAGCCTTCATCAAACACAGAAGTGCCTCTCTAGCTGTGGACAGGGAGGGTGACGCTAGGAGCAAAGCAGAAAGGACCAAGCATTGCACACAGCATCTCCAGGGCTCAGTGAGCCCTACAAGGGGGTAGGTAGGCCCAGGTGGAGAAATTAAGGCAGAGATGTGCATTGGTTGCTTGATTGGGAGGGACCACAGCCTTTTTACCACATTGGGGGGATGTGGCTAGGCATGTCTGGAGCAGGGGCTTCCTGTTTCCTTCAGTGAAGTAAGAAGAGAATTTGGCACTATGACAAGTGATTTGAGATGGGTGGAAAAATGGGGAGTAGCTGTAATGATGATGAGAGACATGAACCCATGCACACACATGTGGCTGCCTACAGAGGGAGTGGAGGAGGGGTGGGGTGAGGGAGTACTAGCTGGTAGCTGAGAATTGTCACCTGGCAGTTCTGAGGGCCCAGTTGTAGATGCTGGCTAACAGCTGGAGTAGCCATGCTCTGGCATGGAGTTTTGTTTCCATTGAAGGCCCTGGTAAGAAAGGGAGGCTGAGTGACTCACAGGGGTGGGGTGGGGGAGTCCAAACAGAATGACTTGAATAGGCTACCTGGAAAGAGTGTGGCTGGCCTGGTAGAAGAAGGGTGAGCCCACAAAGGGAGTAGGATGCAGAGGAGAAAGGTGCCCAGGAGTGAGGAGACATCTAGGGAGGAGGAGAAGACAAATCCTCTCACAGAGGATGGCTGGAAGCAGGAGGGATGGACCAAGAAGAAACAGCCAGGAGGGTAGCAGGGCTAGTAGGCACATCTAGGGGTGGATCCTGAGAGGTAGGTGGAGTTTGCCCACAGTGGGGCACTGATTAGCTGGTCTGAAGGACAGGATGGGGTGGGTGAGGGCAGGGGCTGCAAAGACTGTGGGCTCCCAGGCTCTGCTGCAGAAGCAGCCCTCTGCCATGAGGTTTGGGGCCCCTGGCAGTCGGGTGGGCCCTCCAGGGACCCCATTAACCAGACGAGACTGTCATAAAGTACAAGGTCTCCTTTCATCCCACTTTTTTGAACCACCGCTGGTTGTTCAGCCTTATTCCCCACCTGGAGTCCAGCACACCCACTGGGGCCTGCCATGCAGGCAGGCCCCCACCCTGCAAATAAACAGCTAGTAAAAGGGCCCAGGCCGGGAGCATAATGAGCGCCTGGGACATGGGGGGCTCATTCCCCGGGCTGAGCCCCTGACCAGCTGCTCCCACCAGGGGCTGTTTGAACCTCGGGCTCATTACTGAGCCCGTAAACCAGCCTGTTGAGGAATGGAGGTTGCTGGAGGCCCTGCAGGCAGCCTGGAGCTGGCTGTAAAAGCTGGCTAGAGGAAGCAGGCACCTGCAGGAGCCTGGGCCAGGCAGCCGAGCAGGAGGCAAAGACAGACAGGGGTGGCCGGGCCAGCCTTGGTCTGCTTTCCTTCAATGCAGGCTTCAGCCCAGGTTATGACACTATGCACAATGGCCACTCTTTGTGGACAGTGACCATGGTCTTCCCTTAGGAAGCTTGGCGAGTTCTGTGTGACTGTGGAGGCTAGAGTGTTCAAGGCAGGTTTGATAGGTTCATTATTTACTTGTTGCTGTTGCTGTGACACTGTGACACCGTACCTGATAGAAATGTCAGGGATGAAAGTTTATTTTGGCTCGTGGTTTAAAGGGAGACAGTCTATCATGGAATGCATAGTGATGTGACTCTGTAGTATGGGGAATGTGAAGTGACTGCTAATATCTGCAGAGAACAGGAAGCAGGGAGAAGGATGGGGGTGGGGTGCTAGTACTTAGCTTTCCTCTTCATTTCCTGCTTTATATTCATTCTGGGAACCCAACCCATGGGATGATGCCTCCTGCAGTGAGGGTGTTTTTCCTCTGTTAAACCTTCCTGGAAACACCTTCACAGACTCACCTCTATGTGTGTTTCCTGGGTTTATTCTAAGTACTGTTAAGTTGACAATGAAGATTAACCATCTCCATGGCATCTTGTGGTTCCCTGGGCTACCCATCTCTAATCCCTAGCTTGTACCAGGAGATACGGATCCATGTCTCAGGTTGACCCTACAGGATGTATCCTGTACATGCTCCCTGCTCAGGTAGATAGATTCACCATGAACAGAGAAGCCCAGTGACAGTCCTTTAGGTGGACAGTGCTTAGAACCACTGGCCAACTCACTTCACACCTCTCAGATGCTTGGTTCCAGAAGGAACTGACCTGTGGGCTATGGGACAGAGGTCAGGAGGAGAAGTGTCCTTCTCTTCCAGCAGGAAGGGTAAACTTCCTGGCAGGCTGGTGGTGGAGGTAGGCTGGAGGAGTGGGAGGGAGGATCTGGAGACCTGCCTCGGTATCAGCTACTTACAGCAGTGTGCTTTGCTTCCTCCCAGTGACAGCTGGGGGTATACGCTGATGCCCTCTGCCAGCCTACATATCTCAGAGACTGCATGTGCAAAGCCCATGAGTGAAGGACCCTGGGACCTGACTGCCTGGGTTTGAATCCTTATTCTGTGCCCTTGGGCACTCTGTGTACTTTGGGTTTCTCAGTTTGCATCTCCTTAGGTTGTTGGAAGATAGTTGAGGACCCAGCCTAGGGAATGGTGCCACCGGCTATGGGCTGGGTCCTTCCTACATCAATGGACAATTAAGATAATTCCCCACAGGCCAGGCTCATCTAGACAGTTCCTTAACTGAGACTCATTTCAGGTGATTCTAAGTAGTGGCAAGTTGACATTAAAAACCAGCTATCACACCCCTGACACTGGCAGGCCCTTCCTTTTCTTCCTGCTGGGACTTGGCTTGGACATGACCCTCAGGGATACTCTGCTCCACAGTCTCTGCCTTGTAGCCTTCCAGGATAGACGGGCTTCTCTGTTTGCAGCCTTGGGACCAATTTTTCTAACCTTATTTCCTTGATTCTCCTCTCGGTCAGGATGCCTTCTGGAGACTCGACAAGACAGAGAGCAAGATCCCAGCACGCGTGGTCTTCCAGATTTGGGACAATGACAAGTTCTCCTTTGATGACTTTTTGGGTAAGCCTCATTTCTATCATCCGAGCTTCCCAGAACCCCTGTCATGTGTGTGGACCCTCAAGAAGCCTGTGCAGAAGGTCAGGGTCACTGGGTCCCCAGGGTAAGTGAAGCAAGTAACACAGAACAATGCCAGATCAGGGTGGCCCTGGAGTGGTCCTTAGCAGAGGTGATCCTTGAGCCATGTTAGACAGTGGGACTCCTGAGGAAGTTCAGGGACATGGACAGAAACCATTGCAGGGGTACGCAGGTTATCGCAGTTGTCTGGCTTTACTGCTGACAGGGAGGTCCCAGGTCCTGCCAGTCTAGGAATACAGAGGCCAGAAATTGTGAGGATCAGGTCACTGTTTATCTTTGTGCTTCAGAGACTGTCCTAATGATCAGGGCTTGGCTGGAAAGCCGGAGAAGACAAGCTGAGGCATGGGGGGCTGGGCTGAAGGGTAGGTGTGAAACCAAGGAGGAATGGTATGAGGCCAGCAAGAGGTGCTGGGAGAGAAACAGGTTAGTAACAGCCCTCCCCAAAGTAGGAAGATGATGAAGCATGGTCTGTCCATACATGGGATATTGTTCACATACATGAAGAAAAGAGGTACTGCTCCCGACTCCATTTGATGGACCTTGAAAACATGCTAAGTGACAGGAGGAAAGACAGACAAGTACTAGATAAGTCCACATCTATGCAATGTCCACACCCGACAGATGTAAAGAGGGGAAGAAGGCTGGGGAGGTGATTCTGTCAGAAAACTGCTTGCTGTGCGAGCTTGAGGCCTTGGCTTCAAGCCCAAACCTATGGTTTTTTTTTTTTGTTTTTTTTTTTTAAGCCAGATGTGGCGGCACTTACTTGTGATCTCAGAGCTGGGGAGATAGACACAGGCAGATTCTTGATACTCATTAGGCATCCAGCATAGTCTACTTGGCCAGCTCCATGCTGGTGAAGACCTCGTCTCAGAGAAAACAAGGTGGACATCCTCTGAGGAACAACATCTGAGGTTGATGTCTGGCCTCTAAAGACACATGTACACACAAATGTATGTCTGCACAACATGAACATGCTCTCTCTCTCTCTGTCTGTCTTACACACACACACACACACACACACACACACACACACACACACACAAAGCAGAGAAGGGTATACTGTGGGAAGCATGGGGAACACTGTCTGATAGACAGAAACATAGGTTTCTTTCTAGGTGCTGGAAATATCTGGAATTAGATGGAGGTCTTTGGTTGTACAGCTCCTGGCTCTAGATTTGAACATGCTCAGTGTAGTGGATTTTTTTTTTTAAATTGAAGATTAAATTTTGTATGAAATCTTTTTTTTAAAAAAAACAAACTTTTTGGCATCTATCCTTTATGAATGAGGTTATAGAAAATTTATTTCAAAAGAAAATTTCATTTTTACTGAGAAAACAAATAAAATTAAAAACGATAAACAGGTTTCTTTTTTTGCTGTTGTTGTTTTTTGTTTTGAGACAGGGTTTCTCTGTAACTTTGGAGCCTGTCCTGGAACTGGCTCTGTAGACCAGACTGGCCTCAGACTCACAGAGATCTGCCTGCCTCTGCCTCCCAAGTGCTGGGATTAAAGGCCTGCACCACCACTGCCCTGCATAAACAGATTTTTAAAAATGAAACTTAAACCATTAATACCGCCTTTAGACTACCTCAAATTTCCCTTCTTCACCCTAGACTACATTTTCTTTTTTTAATTTTAATTTTTATTTTATGTGCATTGGTGTTTTGCTGCATATATGTCTGTGTGAGGGTGTCGGGTCCCCTGGAACTGGAGTTACAGACAGTTGTGAGCTGCCATGTGGATGCTGGGAATTGAACCCAGTCGCTCTGGAAGATTAGCCAGTGCTCTTAACCACCGAGCCATCTCTCCAGCCCCCTAGACTGCATTTTCTAATGACATATTTTATATCTCAAAAGAGAAACAGAGAACTTGGACTATGTATGTCAGTTTTCAGCCACCCAGATGTTTGTAGGCATCATAGGGGGAAGAGAGTTATGTCCATCAACAGATGATTGAATGAATAAATGTATTGTTTCCCTACAGCATATGATTCAACTGTAAAAAACATATTGACATACAGGGATCTGGACAGACTGAAAACATTTTGCTTAATGAAATAAACCAGATGCCTAAAGGCAGACGATTGTAACTATGAGAGGCATGTCCACACAGACAAGACAACACTGGTATCTAGGGCTGTGGGGACAAGAGAGTCTCTGCTTAGCAGGCAGTTTCTCTTTGAGAATGAGAACTTTCTGGATATAATGGTGACAGCTATGTAACATCATGACTATTTCTAATGCCACTGAACTAGAATTAGTGTGGGTTGGCAGACGGCTCAGTGGGTAAAGTATTTTCTATTCAGAAGAATGAGGATTTGAATTTGGACTCCAGCACCCACAAAGAAGCAAGTGTGGCAGTGTGTGACTACAATCCCAGGGCTCGGGAGGTAGAGACAGGCTCACTGACCAGTTAGCTGATCTTTGAGCTCCAGATTCAGTGAGGAGTGCTGTCTCCGAAAATGAGGTGGAAAGTGACTAAGGAAGACACCCGTCTTAGTTAAGGACCTATTGCTGTGAAGAGACACTGTGACCATGGCGACTCTTATCAAGGAAAACATTTAATTGGGGCTGGCTTACAGTTTCAGAGAGTTAGTCCATTATCATCATGGCAGGAAGCAAGGCAGACATAGTACTGGAGAGGTATCTGGGGTGGCAGGCAGCAGTGAGCCACTGGCCTGGCTTGAACATCTGAGACTTCAAAGCCCAGTGACACACTTCCTCGAACAAGACCACACCTACTCTAATAAGACCACACCTCCTAATATTGCCACTCCCTATGGGCCTATGGGGACCATTTTTTTTTTTTCAAACCACTAGAGCACTTAATATCAGCCTTTGGCTTCTACATATATGAACAGGCACACACACATCCCCATACATATGCATGCACACCCACGCACCCTGTTTTAGCTTGCTTTCTAATTGCCAGGGTAAACACCATGACCAAAAGCAAGTTGACAAGGAAAACCTTTATTTGGTTTACAGGTTACAGTCCATCATCAAGGGAAGCCAAGACAGGAAATTAAGGCAGGAAGGAACCTGGAGGCATGGAACAAAGGCAGAAACCACAGGGGAGTGCTGCTTACTGGCTTGCTCCCTATGGCTTGTTCAGCATGCTTTCTTACACAACTCAGGGCCACCTGCCTAGGGGTGGCATTGCTCACAGTGGGCTGGGCCCTCCCATATCAATCATTAATCAAGAAAATGGCCTGCAGGTATTTTCTAATGGAGGTATTTTCTCAATCAAGGTTCCCTCTTTCAGGATGACCCTAGCTTGTGTCAAGTGAAATAAACAAACGTAATCAGCACACACACACACTCACACACACACACACACACACACACACACACACCCTATACTATATGAATGTGTATATATATATATATATATATTATATATACATGTATGAATATATATATATATATATATATATTTTAAACCAATAAATGGATGAGTGTGTGGAGGCCGTAGGTGTGTGAAGGGTTTGTAGAGTTAGACGTCCTGCAGAAGTGGACATCTGTGCTCAGGGTGAGGAAATGGAATGGGTAGATTACCTACTCATGCATGAATGGATGATGGGAGGATGTGTGGAAAGAGCAAGAGGAAAAGGACAGGAGCTGGGGGAGCTGGTGGAGCTAACCCCTTGGCTGAACCCTGAATACGAGCTGAAGAGGTGACAAAGAGCTCTTGAATCTGCCCACCCAGAGTGGCCCTAAATGGACAGTGATTGCTACATCCTCTAAGAGCATCACTCTGCCGCAGGTTCCCTGCAACTGGATCTCAACCACATGCCCAAGCCAGCCAAGACGGCTGAGAAGTGTTCCTTGGACCAGCTGGATGACACCTTCCACCCTGAATGGTTTGTGTCCCTATTTGAGCAGAAGACAGTGAAAGGATGGTGGCCTTGTGTGACAGAGGAGGGTGAGAAGAAGATGCTGGCGGTGAGTCTCTCTCTGCCTAATGGAGGGCATGGGTTGTCTCTTCCATGGAACCCAAGGATGCTGGCAACAGTTTCCATTTCTCCTCTCTATTCCTTACCTCTGTGTGCACATGCTAATGTGTATGTGTAGGTTTGGAGGGTGCAGCCAGAGGTCAATCTCATGCTAATCATCAGGTGCCAAGATTGTTTTTTGAGATAGGGGCTTTCGTTGGCTTCCAGTTCATTCATTAGGTTAGGCTGTCTTGCCAGCAAGGCACAGGGGACTGCCTGTCTCTGCTTCTCAAGTCCTGGAATTTCAAACACATCACCATGCCTGGGGTTCTGTGTGGCTTCTGGGGACCTAGCTCAGCTCCTAAGGCTTGCATGGCAGGCACTTTATTGACTGAGCCATCTCCAAGACCTTCTTCTCTCTGCAGGTATTTTAAAAACCTATTTTAAAAGGTTTCCCCTCTCTTCCTATTCTCAGCCTTCCTCTTTCAAGGCCCCTGTTGTAGGGGAGACCTGTTGAATTGGACAAATGGCCTTATAGAGATTGGTTCTGAGTGTCTCTGACTGGGGCTTCCTGTTGGATGGACAGAGGCCATGTCTCTTCTGTTTGTGTAGGACCCTCTCAGGGAACATTCTTGGCTAATAAGTCAGCTCTGGTGGGTGGGGAAGGGGTGGCTAGAGTCTAGGATGAACAGTCCTTCCCTGAAGTCTAAAGCAGCACCAGGAGGGAAGTTAATCCCTGACTGGTTCCTTAGAGAGAGTAGCTGGCCAGCCCTCAAGTGGCCTTTGAACGAAAGTGTCCTTATTGTTCAAAGACTTGTGATAACCAATAAGAAATGTGCCCCAGAGGGAAAGTCAGCAAGCTACACACACAGCTAATTCACTGCCTAGACACTCATTACACATGAGGAGAGAGTTATTTCCCTAGTAACTAAGGGACCATTTTAAAAGACGCTTTTTGGTCTATTAAATTAGATTAACAAAACAAACAAACCAGAAATGTTCACATTGGTGAAGTTTTGGGAGACAGACCTCACTTCCTTCTGCCAGGGAATGCATGGTTTGTTCCACTGTGTGGGGAAGCAATTGGGTTCCACATAACGCAGGATTTAACAGTGTCTATGCCTTTGGACTTTGCCGTCCCACTTCTAAACTCTTGTTTCAAAAAATAACTGGATAAAATTAAAACTTTAGGTTCTAGGATGTTTGTTGTGCTATTATTTATTCATTTCAAAGGGTTGAAAACAACATAAAACGAGCCAAAATAAGTAGTTATTAAATAAATTATGGTCAACCAACCATAGGATGCTTTACAATCATTAGAAACCAAACTTAAATAATATATAATTATATAGTGAAATGTCCCCCCGAGTGAAAAGCTATGGAGCCGCATACACAGTGCTGTGTCTCATACACTTGCAGCTCCAATGAGTAAGGGACCTGGAAGGATGGCTCAGTCTTACTCTAGAGAACCCCAGTTCAGTTCCCAGCACCCACGTTGGTTGGCTCACAATTACCTGCAACTCCAGCTCAGGGGGATCCAGGGCCCTCTTCTGGCCTCCTCAGTCACCAGTGCACACATGCACACCTGTGTACACACACACACACACACACACACACACAAGTAAATTAATAAAATAAGTTAAAATAATAGAGAGGTTAAAGTGGTAAAATAGAATGCTGATAACACCTACCTTCACATAGATGTTATTTGTGGTTATATATATATATATATATATATATATATATATATATATATATATTAAATGGCACTTTATCCAGTAACAGAAAAGCAAACTATGAATATATATATGAACAAATCAACTTGAGGAGGAAAGGGTTTGTTTATTTGGCTTACAGGCCACAGTCCATCACCGATGAAAGCCAAGGTAGAATTTAAGACATGACCTGGAGGCAGGAACTGAAGTAGCGGCTATGGAGGAGTGCTGCTCACTGGCTTGCCTCTTCTGGCTTGCCCAACTACCTTTTCTTATACAGCCCAGGACCATCTGCCCAGGGACATCATCATCCACATCAATAGACAATTAAGAAAATATATCCACAGGCATGCCCAAAGGCCAATGTTTTCTAGATGATTCCTCAGTTGAGAGTCTCTCTTCTCATTTGACTTCAGTTTTGCGTGAAGTAGGCAACTGAAGCTAACTATGACACGTTTGTTTTATTTGATGTGTCTGTGTTTGTGTCTGAATGTGTGTATGTGTGCCACAGGCATACAGGGTCTAGTAGGTGTCAGAAGAGGGTGTGGGGGTTGTGAATCACTATCCTTCTATGAGCTAGGAATTGAACCAGGTTCCTCTGCACAAGCAGTAAGCACTCTTGCTGAACCACTACTCTAGTCCCACAATCCTGCATTTTAAAAAATAAAAATAAACAATGTAATCCTTCTGTTTGTCCTGGGCTGGCTTTGCTCTGGGTCACTGACCAGAGGCCCCAACCAGGTTCCATTGATGTTCACAGGGCAAGCTGGAAATGACCTTGGAGATCGTTGCAGAGAGTGAACATGAGGAACGGCCCGCTGGCCAGGGTCGGGATGAACCCAACATGAATCCGAAGCTAGAGGAACCAAGGTTGGTTGGTTGTCCCAGAAAGCAGGCCAGTGCCATCTGGGAGGCACCCAGTACATAGTTTTACTGTGGTTTAGAGAGATGCAGGCCATAGACACAGCCTAAGTAAACACTGGGCTCGTCAACTAATTCATGAAGCAGGTGCAAGCCAGGCAGAAGGTGCAGAGCTGTTATCCTGGCAGTTGAGAGGCTAATGCAGGAGGATAATGGGTTCCAGGCCAACCTGGGCTACATAGCAAGACACTGCCTAAAATCCCAAACACATAAACAAACAAAACAAAAAGAAGCAGGCCTCCAAAGAAGCTATTCTCTGTGGGTTTCTGTCAAGCATACTACATTAGGTCCAGTGTCCTGAAATCTCTCCTGCTGGGAAGTTACCCCCCCCCCCCATTTCACAGATGAGATTCAGCTCACCGAAGTTAAATGAGGTCATTCCAGCTAAAAAAGCAGGAGAGGGGAAGCTGAAGTTCTCCAGCCTTCTGGACAGTTGCTGACAATGCTTTTGGTACTAAGTACTGTGACACCACCCTCCATGGAGTTCTTGAAAGTGAGCATAGGTGACTCACTGTATCCCAGTGCTATCCCCATGCTGTGGGGTTAGAGAGCAAGAAGAGGCACCTTTATTCCAGTGTGCTGGGATCTGATGGATACAGGAGGAAGTCCTAAGGCCCAGTGCTAGCCAGCAGATGTTACAAAGGCCACGATCGAGACACAAAGCCCTCCGTGTTCTTTGAGGTGCTTTACTGATAGAAGGCAGGGGTTTGCAGGTCTTTGTTGGGAGTGAGTAAGTGCAATCAATGGTCTCTTTTGGCTTCTCCACTCTATCCTCCCAATATCCAGCCATGCATACAGGGGCAGCCAACCTGGCTTCTCTGGGGGCCAGTGTACCCTTCAAGCAGGGCATCCTAGAAGTTCAGCCCCACTCCCAAGCATGTGATCTTGGCTGAGTAAGGGTTCAGAAGGGAAGGGGGGCACAAGGAAGGGGTCCTGAAGATGGGGCTCAGCAGCACCAAGAACACAGGTGCAGAGGCTCTGGGAGGAGGGGCAGAGAGCATGGAGGCAGGGTTCTCCTCTCCCATAGCCAGGCTGTTTGACCCATTGTCCCAGCTGAGAGCAGGGTCAGGAGGAAACAGTCCTGCAGAGGAGCTCTGCTGACCCCTGGGATCTCACTTCCAGGCGCCCTGATACCTCTTTCCTGTGGTTCACCTCCCCGTACAAGACCATGAAGTTCATCTTGTGGCGACGCTTCCGGTGTGCCATCATCCTCTTCATCATCCTCTTCATCCTCCTGCTCTTCCTGGGCATCTTTGTCTATGCCTTCCCGGTGAGTGAGCAGGCCTCATGTGGGGAGATGCTGCTTGGGGGAGTCCCTTGTTTACCATGTGTTCCCAGAGTCTGGTGGCTGCCAGTGACCTGCTCCAAGGAGGAGACAGAACCCTATCTGGTAGGGAGACAAAGCCTTGTCTCTCAGGAATCCTTGCTCATTGAGCAAGTGCTAAGAATGGGCTATCAAGGGACTGGCAGAGAGGAGGGGTTGTGTGACTTCCCGGGAGAGTTGATTGCAGTTACTTACTCCTGCGGGTGAGACTCAGAGACAGTTGCACCACTGAGAAGTCCATCCCATCATGCCTGGAACACCCAGAATAGGCATTCCTGGAGCTATCTGCATAACTTGCACAGGAAGCTCTACTTGTTGGAGAATCTCTTCTTCCTAGCACTGTGTAATACTGGAATAACCTTGGGGTAGGAGTTTGTGAATCTTGTAAGTTTCAGGAGCATCCTGAGACTTGTCAGTTTTGTTTACCTCCTGAGCCTTAACAAGATCAGTTTGGATGAAATTCACACAACAGGAGGCTTAGGCCTACGGTGGTAGGGGAACCTGTTGAAGGGTAGAGTGGAGCTAGGTGGGGAAGGGAAGGTGTGGGGTGGCAGAACAGAGGACAGTACTTGCTAGGACCTTGCTAGAATATGGGCTTGGAGAAAGTAGGAGTGGGCAGAGGCTATATCTGGTGTCCCTCACTGTCAGGTTGCACACTTGGGGTCCCTTCCATCTGGTAAGAAGTCAACTGTCATCTGACCAAGGGATAACAGGGCCACCACAGCCATACTATCCAGGGCTTCTGGGTCATTAGTCCCTTGGCTTCGCCTGTGGTGGTTGTGGGCCTAACCTCTGTCCTCTGCCAAAGGCCCCTGAAAATGCCTAGCCCTCTGGCATCTCTTGACACTTCAGGTCTTGAAGGTGCTGAAGTACTGTCAGGCTGTCACTAGAGTTTTCATGTTCTTTTTAGATGGAAAAAGATAAACTTTTATTCATCTATTTATTTTTAAAGATGTATTTTATTTATGTGCGTGCGTATATGAGAATGTATGCCACATGTGGTTGTGAGTTAGTTACCCAACATGGGTATTGGGAATAGAACTTGGAGATATCCACTGACTTCCCATACATCTTCTGTGTGTGGAGGGGCTGGACTAGGTGAGCCCCAGGCTTCGGATGGGTTGGGTCAGGTTTGTTTGTCTTTTCGAGCTGCTGCGAGTAAAGCTGAGTCCTTTACTTAAGGGCTTGGAGGTCAGGAGCATGTCCCAGGTATCATCACCATGGCTATTTTGGTGCCTATGCAGCCCCTGCCTAGCTGGGACCCACCCTCTGAGGCCCATGAGTGGCTGTCCTAGGTCTCAGAGCTGTGATTGGAAGACAGGCCAGTCCCCTGTAGCTTGGGGTCTTCCTGTTCTTGAAGACAGGTGAGGAGCACTTTTGGGGACTCTGAGCAGAGCGTCTCCCCCGGATGCCTGGGCTCCAGTAGCTAAGTTGTACTCCTTTCATTTTCTTTGAGTGTCTTCTTCATGTGCTGACCTCCCAGAGCAGCATGTGGAGCATATGGATTCAGACCAGGGCTTCAGGCTCCAGGGGCCAACAGGATTAGGCTTATACACGTTCTGCTTGAAGGCCTGGCTCCAGCCCAGAATCCCATCTCTGTCGGTATAAGCCCCTAGTCACCTGGCCTGTCTCATGAAAGCTGGGCCTGTCAGCTCACCTGCTTTTGGCCAGGTGGGGCAGAGGGCCTGTTCTAGACAGTGCAAGGCACCCATCTTGTAGCACCACCCCCACTATCTTGGAGAGTCCCCTAGGAGGGGTGGGGTGGGGACTTCTGATTCTTCTGGCCCCTCTGAGCCTGCCGGGAGCAGGGCCAGATTGGGGCAGCAGAAGCGATTTGGCGGGGAAGGAGGGCCGGCTTTGTTTCCAGGGTTGGCTTTCCAGGCCGGCGCTGGAGAACATACTGTCCCAATTAAGAGCCCTGTGTTGTGTTGTGTGTTTTCATGGCGTTTGGGAGGAGTGGTGGGGAGGAGAGGGTCCTGTCAGACCTGTAGCAGGAAGGGCTTTGTGGAGGGTGACCCATCTCTGACTCTGGCCCCAGTTATGGATTGTCCTATGTGGCCATACTCTCTGGCTTTCTGGACAGTGACTGGGTGATGGGTTAGCCCTGGGCCTCCTGTTTGTACCTATGAGAGTAGGGGGTAGAAATCATGGAAATGGCCAGAGTCAGCTTTGCTTGATGGATAAGAGTGTCACAGGGGTAGAGTGTGGAGCCTGGCATGGGTTGGTAGGTGGCAAGGACAGGCTGCAGGCAGGGGGTGAAGACCCAGGAGCTCACCTGAAGCTTTCCTCCCAGCCCCAGTGACAACAGCTCCCGCCGAGCTTTCCCTGAACGCTGACCATGTGTCTGTATCCTTGTCTCTTCCTCCTAGAACTATGCTGCCATGAAGCTGGTGAAGCCCTTTAGCTGAAGACTCTACTTGGAGAAGGGGTCACAAGCTGCTTCCTGGCCCAGGACTGGCTGCTCCTCCTTTCCCATGGGGCCTGGTGGTCTTGCACATGCTCACTGAGTTCTTGGGATTACCCTATTTTCATCATTCTCCCCTACCCCCACTCTCTTTTGGATGAACTCTTGGCTATCTCCGTATAAAGCAGACAGAACCACAGACTATGTTACTGTGTGTCTACAGTCCCTGTATGAGGGAGACTGTGTGGGTGGTAGGAGGTTGTCTGGGAAGATTGGGGTGCCAGTGGGGTGTTGTCATTTCTGGGCCAGCATTTTGGAGGCAGAAGCTGCTAGGGCTGGAGGCCTTAAGGTTTGATATCTGGCCCAGTGGTCAGTATCATTTGTCTCCTCCCTTCGGCAGAGCTCCTCTCCCTCCTACTCCGTTTGAACCCTCACCTTTCTGGGGAGGCTATCATTTGTTCAGGTAGGAGACTCCACTGGGAGGGTGGCCTGACCTCTGGCTTTGACCTCGACACAGGCACGTCTGCAGTTCATCCTTTCTGCTTCTGAACCCTACTTAAAATATCTGTCTGGATCCAGACACCTTTTCCTTGTGGTCTGAGGCCTGGCCTTGGTGTTTTTCTGAAATTTCCTGCGGGAACCAGACTAATCCTCAGGAGCAGCAGGACCGAACTCAGAAAACGCAGAGCTGGAAGACTTTGCTCCAAGGTCTCTGCCTCGGGGCAGGGAGTGCTGGCTGCTTCTCCCTGTCACCAGGGGCCTTCTCCTATTTCCTACTGTGAGCTGATTCCCCTGGCATAGGTCCCTGGGCCCTGGAGGGATCCTCCCCCCACATCCCTCCATTACTCACCCCTTCTCTGACCCTCCCAGGGCTGTGGGATTCAGGCTGAGGCGCCACCCAATTGACATGATGGAGGTGGTACCCTATTACTCTTGCTTCATGCAGGGCCAAGAGAACCTGGCAGCCAGGCCCTGAAGGCTTGCTGCCTGAGCCCAAAGCCAGGGACACATCTCACCCAGAAAGCAAATCAGGGACAGGGCTTTAGACTTTTTAGGAAGGTCCCACCTAGTGAGGAGGCTTTGCTGGGTCTATGCTGTATCCAACAGTGTGTGTCAGGAGGGATTGTAGCCTTTGGAGGAACCAGAGGAGAAGAAGCAAGGCTTGCTCAGCCTCAGGATGGGTTAGGGAGCTTTGCCCATAGGATGCTCTGATCATTTCTGAAGGTGTGGAGGAGGAAGCCACCAGCCTGGAAGAATCAGAGACCCAGAGGAGTAGAGGTGGTTTCTGTAGACAGGGAGAAAATGTTAGCTTGGAAAGGAAAAGACATACCGTAAATAAGTAAGTCCATGTTTTCCCCAGGCGCTAGACTGTAGGAAGAACTGCAGCCTCCCAACTGCTTTGGAAGGGTCTGGAGGGCTACTGAGAACACTGTCTATTTTTCTATTCTGGATGATAAGTAACAGGAAATCTACTCAGACGAGTAAAAATAACTCAATGGTTTTATAGACAAGAAATATACCCAAGGACAGACTTCAGGCAAGGCTTGTTCCAGTCACATCTAAGGACTTGTGATCTTTCCCTGATTGCACCCCTTGGGTTGGGTTTCTGTTCACAGTTAGCTGTGTTCCTAGAGTTGGGCTTGAAGCGGCTTCCTGAGACCACACTAGCTGTTAAAGCAGCTCTCAAGCATGTAAGTGGGGCTGTGGGATGGATGGCCGGGGACACATGTTGGGCCAACATGTATGATATTGAAATGCTTCCCATGGCAGGCCTAGGGTGGGCTCCAAGGGTGCTCCTGGTGAGTTGCTTATGGCTCCCATAGGCTGAGGAAGCATCTTCTCATGCGGGAGGGGCTTCAGAGAGGCACACTCCTCTGGGACTTGGAGGGTGCGAGACCTTCTTTGGGGCACAATGGTAACATTTGAACAGGGATGAACTGTGTTCTGGCCAACAGAAGGTTATTCCTAGCACCGACACACACACACACACACACACATACACACACACACACACACAGAGAGAGAGAGAAAGAGAGAGAGAGAGAAGAGAGAGAGAGAGAGAGAGAGAGAGAGAGCCATGGAGCCCTATGGAGTCAGCTAGTAGGCAGGGAAAAACTTCAAGTGGTTCTAGAGAAGAAGGGAGAGCCAGAAGGAAGGGCAAGGCCCAGTCCAAAGACTCCTACATAGGAGTAGAACTTCATTCTGAGGCAACAAGAGAGCACAGGAGGGTGCAAAGGTGGTCTGATTTTGGTCAGAATCGTGTGTTTAAAAATTATTAATTCTAGTCTAGTTTTTTTTTTTCCTGGGCAATGAGAATCCTGCAGGGACAGAGTAGCCTAAAATATGTAACTACCCTGGAGGTCTGTCCTGCTGGAGACAGTAGCTGGGGAACTCACCTCAGTGTGGCCTGAGGGCACAAAGACCAAGCAGGATGCTGGGCAGCTGGCATCTGAAGGTTGTTTCAGAAGGCTGGCTCAGTAATCACAAATTAAAGGAAATTCACTCACTCATTTGTATAGGAAATCATATACGTATAATATACGTGGAGTAGGGGCTGGTACTAGGCAAGGATCAGACTGGCAGGTGCACTGAAGGAAGGGCTGACACTATGACTCAAAAGCAAGAAAGGGGAAGCAAAGTTTTGCAAAGACAGATCCCCCCAAGAAATGGAATCCCCACACCAACAAGCTCAGGCACAGGCTCCTAACTGGGCTCTTTTTCCCTCCACACATCCTGCTTCCTGGCAAGGTCTGGATATGGTTCAGATTTCAGAACTGCTGTAGGGAGAGCAGTGCTCCATACAAAGGTTGGGCCATACGGTCCCTGCCCCAGAACCTCAGGGATGAATAAGATCACACAGTGATCTTGCATGGCCAGCCAGAGGTTCCAGGACTGTGGGATGGCAGATAAGTCTCAAGCTACTCTGTACTGTCTGGTTTGTCTGTGGCAGACAGTGAGACTGTTTATCAATCACTTTTGGACAAATGGATTCAAATACATTCAGATATCTGCAGCTAGGCTCTCTTTTCTCCCCTTATAGAAAGTTCTAGAAAGCTTCTTCCCTATGGCCTTACTTCGTCCTCTCTTCTCCGCCCATTATTATCAGACATATCAAAGTAAAGCCACTGTCCTTGGCAATGGCAGCTCTGGGAAGGGGCATTGTAACAATGGAAGGTGGTGGGGAAATGAAGGAGGCTTGGGCATTTCAGAAAGGTTTTCTACCAAATAAAAACACACATGGAGACACATCTTCTTGCTCTTTTTTGTTGTTGTTGTTGTTGGAAAACAGAGGGATGGCATGAGTGGCTGTGTGTTCCTGAGATTGAGTTGAGCCTGTAGCTGACACAGAGCATGGGGGAATGGAGGAGAAGGAGCCAAGCTCTTAGCTGTCTGACTCTAAGCCAGATGCCCTGCATTCAGGGTCACAAATTCTCTCAACTCAAGCCCCCTTTGGTTGATTTCCTGGTTGCAGAGCTCCTCTCATTCCCAGAGACTTGTTTAAAATTCCACCACCTCATTAAGGTGGGTACCACAACTTCATATGCTTTGTGCATGAGTAGAGTGTGTGTGTGTGTGTGTGTGTGTGTGTGTGTGTGTGTGTGTATGCAGCTAGAGGTTAACCATGATCCATCTTTTAACAGGGTCTCTTACTGAGCCTGGAACTCACTGATTAGCTAGGCTGGCTAGCCAGTGAGCTCCAGGGACCTGCCTGTTTTTGCTTCTCCAGCATGAGGATTACAGAAATGCACAACCAGGCATGGTTTTTAAGTGGGTGTTGGGGGTCTCTGAACTCAGAACCTTATGCTTGTGTGGCAGGCACTTCACCCACGGGTCGTCTTCCCAGTTCATATTATATACATTATGTATTACAATACTTTCCCCACAGATGTATCCAAGTGTCTTATTCTGATAAAATCAGTGCATACTGTCATTTTCTGGTAGCTAACTTACCCTCCAGGAAATGATACCTTTTCCTAATTCATGCATAGGCACTACCTAACCCTTCCCAAGCCTCTGCTACCTTTCCTGGCTCTCAGAGCTCAGGGCTCCTCAGCCTTTTCATAAACAGTTCATAGCTTCCACAGCACCCACACCTCCCTCTTCTCTCTGGGCCTGGATTGCCTGTGAGTCTAGAGTGTCCCCAGGGTCTTGTATGGCTTCTGATCTCCCACTGCAGACCTCACAGGCAGCTTCTCTGGCTTTCCTTGACCGGAGTGATTCTACCAACCCATCTGTAGCACAGCTTCTCTCTGAGCTGAGGTTTGTCCAGGTTAACATGACTTGATGCAGCCTAGAATCTGCCCATGAGAGTCTCAACTGAATAATCATCTTCATCAGGTTGGCCTGTGGGAAATTGTCTTGACTGTTAATGGCTATAGGAAGCAGAGCCCACCATGGACAGGAGCACTCCCTGGGCAGGTGGTCCTCAGCTGTATAAGAAAACTAGCTTGAATATACACCAACATGTGAGCCAGCAATGACATTCTTCGGTGATTTCTGTTTTAGTTCCTGCCCTAGTACCCTCAGTGATGGACTGTGACCTGAAAGTGTCAGAAAAATAAACCCATTTCTCATCTAAGTTGCTTTTTAGTCAGTGTTTTATCACAGCGACAGCAAGGAAGCTAGAACAGATACCTTATGCCCCAAGGGTCATGATGAGTCCCCCACTCTTGCTTCTCCCTGCATGGTGCTGACCAAGGTTCTTGCTCTGCTCTTAGGTCCGCTGCCAGGCATGAGGCTGCACACAGCAGTGTACCAAAGCCCTGGCTTCCCTGACACCCACGCTCAGTAGTCAGCAGAGCTGATGCCGGCACTTCAGTATCCTGCAAACAGGCTGCTTCTCAGCCCAGTGTCAGGGCTCATGTACTATCATGCCCAGTCACCTGCCTCCCTGAAGTAAGAGCCCTGCCTGCCTTTTGCAGTATCCTTTAGACCTCTACTCCCTGTCCCCTGGCCTCCAGCCCCACCCAGCTGCCTTCACTGCCTCAGGAGGGAGTGACTCACCTCCCCCCTGCCCATGCTGCCCTGCTCCACCTGGCCCTGATCTCCTTAGCACTTACTGCACTGATATGGCCGCAGCCTGCTGGCTCACAATGTGTCTCCAGAGCTGGGATCACATCTCTGTCTTCCATGGGTCCTCTACTTTCACTGAAGAAATTTTGCTCAGGGCTGACTGCACAAAACACATATACACAAACACATGT